ATAAAGTTTCTCATTTTCTACTCCAAGAGCATCATTCTCTTCTCTTTCTTTCTAAAACTGAAAAAAATAGTATTGAATTATCGTAATGCAAATTATATACAACCCAAGAAAACCCATAAAAGTATACGCAGTTTGTTCCTTTAAGAAATATAGTATACCTTATTTTGGTTTCTTTTATTTTGAAACAAAAATTCTATTTGGCTGGATGAAAGCCCAAGGCTTGTACCACGTTACTGTTGATCATCTTTAGTCGGATGTGGGCAATCCTTGAAACCTTCAACAGTTTTAGTTGGTTTATTCGGCAACTTCAAAGTCAAAATAACAACACAGAGATGGCAAAAGTTAAACTAACAAAAAAAGAGTTAGCCAAAAGTTTCGGATCATATCACTGAGAAAATGAGAAAAAAGGTTTTTTTTTTTCTATAATATAAGTCATTTAAAAAAAAAAAGATGTTACAGAATGCAGTAAGCTTATGATTTATCTTATGAAAGTGAGGACGAATACTAAACTACACTTCAAATTGTTGGATTTGTTCTGCAGAGAGAAACAATTCAACATCTTCTCCTATATCAAAGAAACTTCGTCGCTAGATCCATATCCACCATATGCAAAACCCATGACCTTTTTCACCAAAAAAAGGATTGATTGGTTGATAAGTATGTAAGTTAAGCTCAAGGGATGCACAATTTGACACTAGGTTGTTTTTAATTTACATAGAAAATAGAATATGTTTGTTATTTGACTTTAATTCGAGTACCAAGAACATCAAACATTCATGTCTAAATGAAAAATTTCAAAAGAAAGGAATTAAACTTATACCTGGCTTTCTTCTGTCTACGCCCCCATGGAGTTTGAATGGAAGCTAGTGTTGTGCTTCTCTTAGTTGCGATGAATATGGCCAATGAGTATAGTTATTTATATAGAAAAATGACACTTGTTAAGATGATGTAATTACGTATACCTAGCCAGCAAAGAATCTGAAATGTACGGGAAAAAAATTGAAGGTTAGAGATTTTTTAATAAAAGTTAATTGAAATAATTCTCTATAAGCCCCACCAGATATTGTTATTAAAAGCTCTTTTATTTGCATTGTGCCCATCTCAACATAAAAAGAAAATATTTAAACCATAGAAGAAGTTTTGCAATGAGAAAAAAGTTAAGTTTTTCAATGAACTTTGGCTGCTTACTTGTGTTGTGAACTTTAAACGAGACATTTTTTTTTGTCTTTTGTAACCCAACTTCCATTAATCCTTATCCATGGCAATTATTGAGTATGAGACTTAACGCATTTTAATGTTGGATTATGAAATATGTCTATTAATGCTCAATAATTTAAACTTTTGATTGTTGAAGAATCCTTTTTTGCTTCAGCTTTCATAGCATTTTAATAATTCCTTAGAAGTTCTAGCAAAAAGTTAAATGTATTCTTATCGGGAGTAGATGACATGATGGGCTTGCAACTGTGTTCTTTTGTTCCAATGCCTCGAGGGACTCTTCTTGTGAGCTACGTAGGACTTTCTTTGATCACTACCAGGCTGAGTTATAAAGATTGCTTGCCTATTTTTAATAAAATTCAGCAAAAAATTAAAAGTTGGGCTGCTAAGAAGCTTAGCTATGCGGGCAGGGTTCAACTGATTATTTCAGTTCTCAGTGGGGTGCATCAAGACTAGACAAGTGTGCTTTTGTTGCCTAAAGCTGTGGCAAGACGAATTGAAAGCATGTTAGTTTCTTTTCTTTGGGCTGCAGAATTAGAAACTCACTATGCAGCTAAAATGAGTTTGAAAGATATATGCAAGCGAAAGAAAGTCGAAGGATTAGGGATTAAGGGAGATTGGTTTGTGGAATAAATGCCTGATAATGAAGCTGATACGGAATTAATATATGTCAAAAAAAGGACTCTTTGTGGGTTAAACGGATCCATTCTTATATGCTGAAGAATCGTAGTATTTGGGAGGTCAAGGAGCCAATTCATACCTCGTGGCTATGGAGAAAAGTTCCAGGACTTAGACCTCTGATTTATCCATTTATTCAAGGCTTGATTGGTGATGGATGTGATATGGCATCCATTAGGGCCATTGCATTATTAGTTCTCTGAGTCTCTATTGAGGAGTTTGGGAATGGATAAAACCTCCAAGGTCGTGAATCTAATTAAGAATAGTAAGATGGAATTGGCCAAAGGGAAGGAGATGTACTAACGAGGTACTCCTTGCTTTGCAACAAAGTTTCTCCGGTAAGCCTCTTGGATAACTCGCATAGAGCTGACCAATGTTAAGTGGTTAGGTTCTAGTAGTGGTTAGTTCTCTGTACAATCTGCTATGGAGAAGGTATTCCCTGCTGGTGGAAAGGAGAAAAGGAACAAATTGGTGTGGGCAAAAGGATGTGTCCCTCGCTTTGATTTTGTTTTGTTGGCCGTTGTTGAGACAAAGGTTAAACGCAAAAGATAGGTTGAGAGGCTGCAGAATTAGATCGTTATCCCCAACTTGTGAACTGTGTCACGAAAAGGATGAGTCCAGAGGCATATTTTCTTTGAGCGTGCATTTTCTAGCATAGGTTCTTTTCTCAACTAATTGAGAAGACTTGCTTTTGCTGCTACAATTTATCATCTTTGGCAAGCTTGGAATACTTGTGCTTTCAAGAAAAGGTAGATTGCTAGCAGTGAATGTGGTAAACAACATTGTAATTGCTGTGAGATTTACTCTTGTGTCTTGGTCTAAAGTCCCGAGAACATGGGAGAACCTGACGTTTGTCTGGACCATCAATATTTTCCTGGATAGATTATGTCTTGCACTTTCCTTTTGTTTAGTTTTTCTGTCTTTTTTAGATCTAATTTTAATTAGAGTCAATAATGGTCTGAGTGTATAGATATAGAGAAACTAGGGGAAAAAATGGGAAAAAAATTTTATGTAAAGCTTTCAATGTTTGATCAATGGGAAAAAAATTTTACTTTTGGCAAAAAAAAAAAATATTAATATTGAATTATTTCTTGCATATTAGGTCATCATTTTTTCAAATGTAATTCATGGCATTCTTATGCAAATGACAAACTATTCCTATAACTAAGAGTCACATACTCATTAGGCTTCTTTAATTATGAAGCAATGTTCAAGGAACTGAGTTTACTCCTTTTGCAAAGCGCATCGCAAAACTACTATTTTTATGGCACTAATTAATTACTTTTCTCACTCATTTGTTATTCATACAACATTTTTCTTTTAGAATTTCTATTTCTAATCATGACTTTTCATATGTGGAAAAAAATACTTTATCGTCATAATATGGAGTATGTCTATGTACTTCTTAAGTCTATCCTCGCCCCCTCTTTCTTCAAAAATAATTATGACGAATCTTAGTAAAAATAAAGCTCAGATTAAACAATCACAAAGTCAATCTCATTCTAAACTAGCAAATTAAAGATGAGGAGAAGCAATTAGACAACCATATCATTTAGGTTTCAAAGGCAAAAAAAAAAAAAAAATAGCACTAAAATAAATGATTCTCTAGGATCTAATGAAGCCCACTTAAAAGTATATATAGGGAAACACTTCAAAAATAAAGTTGGCAAGAACCAATTTTGTCAAAGAATCGTTTATGAGAAATTGTAGTACTATATTTTGGAAGGTTAAATTAGTACAATAACGAATTGTTGTGTTTTCCCTAAAGATGCTATTACAATAAAAATAACATAGATATATACAAATTGGTGCATATGTAAGGGAAAGTGCAGATACCAAAAAAATAATCCATCAGGACACTAGAGTGCAAATGACGACTTGTTTTAATTTGAGTAATCTTATAGAACAACAAATGCAAGGCAATTTGTAAGATAATTTATAGAACAACGGATGTAAGGCAAGAACTTGTACGTGATATTATTGTTCTTAAGGAAATAATACTCCAATAAAATATAACATAAGACTGTCTCAAACAATGCGAGTTGGCTCATATTTAGAATTAACAAGCTAGGTTCTTGAGGTTCCCCAGTGACCAGAGAAGGGTGTTTAGAGTTTTTTCTGTTGTTAGGTTCAGAATTCGAATCCTATATGTGACAACAGATGGGTGTAAGAAGAGTGTGAGAAGGTTTAAAAAAAAAAAAGAGTTATTGAAATTCATTAGTTCCAAGCTTATATGGTTCTCATGAGCAAGTTTTTGACAGAGTTGGATTAATTTAGTTTGCCTATTGAACTATTTGTACGAGTAGTTACTCCAATAATTAATCGTTCTTAATATAGTTAAAGAGAAGGATAGATTAAAATGAAAAGTTTGTAACGGACCCCATTATCTCGGAGATTGAAGAAATAAATAATATATAGTAATCACTAAAATGTTAATATAGTTTGTGAGTAGGGATGAATGACGAAATCAAACTACTTGATATTTGGGTCTAGTTTGACTTAGAGTTTGTACGAGTTTGGTTTAAACTTGAATCATATTTTTTATTCATAATTTCAAAGTTGACTCGATTAGTATAGAATTGGAATATATAAGTAAAAAAAAAAAATTAAAGTTATGAGCTTGAATTGGAATATATAAGTAAAAAAAATTCAAGTTATGAGTTTGATTAAAGTTCAGTTTGATAAAAATCTTGCTTGTGTCTCAATAAATAATCAAGCCAAACTGGAATGCAATATCAAAGCCATTAAAATATAATTAAACAAACTCGAGCATTAGGGCGTTTTGGTTTGTTCGATTTGATTAGTTTCGTTTACGGCCCAATTAGTAACATAATATCTATTAAAATTAGGCATAGTGCTAATATGCTTGTTTTGAACACATTAAAACAAAAGTGGAGTTTAATTATACTCACAAAATTATAAGCGCTTTCATATCAAATGTTAAAAGGAGCAAACTGTTGATATAAGAAGACTTTAGGGGGGAATGTAAAACTCTAACATGAATATGGGGAAACTTAGAGCAAGGTACCATAAATTTTCTTGTTCTGAGGGTTAAATTGAAAATATTTCTTGCTCTATTCAAAGCTTTTCATCATTTTGGAGGGCCATCTGACTATTAAACCCAAAATTTAATGAATTTCAGAACTGGAGCCAAAGAGGTCTCCCCCCTTTCTTCTGTGACCTGGATAATTTAGGGTTCACATTTTCTCCAAATTTAGTGTGTTCTAATCTTGAATTTGTCCAAAAGATTGGATCTTTCAAGTTTATGATCTATGGGTTTGTCAATTGGAGCTCGTAGCAGCTGAAGGGATCATTTTTCTATTACTCCAGTTTCACTCATGGGCTGCACACTTATCAGATTTTACTGCAAAAAGGGCTATCTTTCTTTCAATTTCTTGTTCTGAAAGCACAGCTCAAGGTATAAAGTAGGCTAAGTAATCCCTTTTCCTTTTTTCCTTTATTTTTTTTGGAGCCATTGTTTGGGTTTTTCGTTTTCTTTAGAATTGGGATCAATATAACTACATGTAGTGATTAATCATCTTAGGCTCAATTTTGCTGAAAAGTCTTTTTTCTTTTGGGATTTTTGTTTCAGTTTTCATAATTTGTTGTTGTTCGAGAAATCTTTTGTAGTTCATATTTATGATCAGCTGAGAAGTGAGAACCCTCTGGAAGCTACTTTAAAGTGATGAATTGCACTCTCTCTGTAAGGAAATGCTATTTGTTTACTCAATTAGGGTGTTTTTGTATTCATATACTATGCATAGGTTGTATTTGTGTGTGTGGATTTTGAAGAAGATATATTGGTGTAAAAACTTTGACTTGTCTGCATTTGAGAAAAACTTCAAAAGAAATCTAATATATTTGGTTTACATTAAGCCTTTTATGTCCAATATTTTGCTTAGTGCTGAACTATTATGCAAATGCAAGTTTTTGACTTGGCATTCTTTACGTTTTACTTTTGTGATAACGCCTGTTGAGGCTTATTTTTCTGTTTACTAGTAAGTCAGGATGTTATGCTGCCCTTTTTTTTTGTGAGAGTGTGTGTGTGTGCGGTTTTTTTCTTTTTAACTTCTTTAAAGGCTTTCCCTATAAGCAAACATTAGTGCCGGCTATTTTATTTTATTTTTTCTCTTCTTTTTTCAACTACTTGGATTTCAAAGTTGAGGAGCTAAATCGAGTAGTTCAATTCGTGCGGTCATACTTCATAGCCTCCACTTGGCAGATTGCACCGGGTGAGCAGTACAGAAGATTGGGAGTGTTGCCCTGTTTTCCCTCGAATTCCTGGTTCTAAATAAGCTTGAGCAATCCTTTTTATGCAAAACCCAAAAATTGTGCTACCTTCCTGCTTCTCTGCTTCTCCCATTTTTGTGCCAAACATGAAGTTTCCTGATATTCTCTGTTAGTGACTTCCTTTTTTTGTTTGTTTTTAAGATACTTTGGGTCATTGTTGATAGCTTTTTGAGCATTGACACAATTATAGCTCTTAAACTTGCTTATAATTTTCTTTTGGAGGTCAGGAAGGTTAGGGAACGGTTGTTTTTGGTGTTTGTGTTGGAAGCATGAAGTATATTTAACTTCTTGTCATGTCAAAGGTCCAAACAATGACAATGGATGTCTCTGCTAGATGTTGGACCTAAAGATGGTTTGTCATTGTTGCTTTATGTTGTTTCAAAATATTGTGCATAGGCAAAGCAATAGATTCTCTTAAGAAAAATCTTGTTGGTTTGCTTCTGGTGCAAGGCAGAAAGCCATTAGGTTCGTTATAACTAATGTACATAATTTGATGTAGGAATTCTTCATCTGATGTTGCAGACTATCTTGATCACATCTAATGGAGCTTGTAAGCTGGGTGCATTTGGTTTCACGCCTACAGGTCACTCATCCAGTGATTCAGCTAATGTGCAGGCTTTCCACTATGCTGTGAGTGTAAATTTTCACATCACAGTGAAAAACAGAATATAATTGCATGTTTTTTTGAGTTCATTTTTCTACTGCATTTCTAGTTATTGAATTTGTGATTTGATTGTGTTTCTTTTATCTGAATCTTATTGCTGTTAAGCATGCTGCTGGACCTGCCTTAGCTTTTTGATTTATCATGGAAAATCCGTTGTTTGAATAGTAGAATCTTAAACAGATTTGGTAGCTAATTGGTTCTTGGAAAGGTTTAACACAAATTTTCTTCATAAATTAGTGCTTGGACCTATATCAATGCTATATCTGAGCTCAAGTATGAGCTATATATGAAGAGGAGCCAGGTAGATCCTTATGGTTTCATGTTACATTAGAGTTAGCTCTATGTTGTTGATGAGTAACGAATAGAGAGAAGTCTTGTGGGAGGGGTTTTGGAAGGACCGAAGTGCATGATATATGTAGATTTGGTGAGTATGATCCTCTCAACATGCTGGCCTATGTTATCGCCTTAGACTCAATCAAGACAAGTACATCGAAGATTAGGGATGACAACGCGACAGGTGCCTTGCCTTGCAGGGGAAGGAATGGGACAGGGGAGAATTTTTCTCCTTCTACTTCAAATGGGGTGGGGGAGGGACCAATATATATTTTGACAAAAGCTTTGTTCTTCATATCATTCAATTCTTTTGAGTCTCTTTTGATTAGTAGACAGACAAAAGAATATATCAGTTTTTTGGCTAGAACTTACTGTTATACTAGCACCAAATGTTCTTGACTGTGATTGCAACATCTCCAATTATGGGAAGTAAGAGTGTCCATATAAGATGGATTAGTGACTACTAGTGAACCAATTTCTCGATTGCAAACACCACAAGCCCTATAACAGAGATCAAGGGCATAGGATTCATGATTTCTTAATATGTTAGGATCCTAACACGCCCCACTAGGATTATACCGCTACAATACAATTGACCGCGTGCCAAACCCAAAAATGAAGCCCTGTAGCTTATGATCAAGTAAAATGTGTGGCTAAATAAAAACGAGGCTAAATATAGTGGCCACCTCTGGGGCACTCGTTTTGTCATATGTGTAGAAAAAATGAGGCTAAATAAAAAATACGAAATATAGTGGCCACGTCCAGGGCACTCGTGAGGATTGTGGAGCTAGGGTCGGGGTGGGGGAAGCGGGGGATGGGGCGGGAACGGGGGAAACTTTTATAACACTGGGCGGGAGATGAGGAGTGTTAGGACTGGTCCAGGAATAAATAAACTAAAGTTAGAATAAAATAGGCGATATAACCGACCATATAATGCTTATGCGGTAGACACCAGTCATATAATACTTAGGCGGTAAAACCGACCATAGAAAAGGGTTGTGGCAACCCAATAAAGACAAATAACAAAGCAAAATAAAAGACACAGAGATTTACGTGATTCGGTCAAATTGACCTACGTCCACGGGCGGAGGAGGAGCAAATCTTTCACTATGAAGAAGATATACAAAAACCTTAGGAAAGTGGTTCCTAAACCCAAAAAACACCTAATACTAGAACACGAGAGAGCCCAAAGTATTTCTACTACAAAAGGTTTAATGACCCAAAGGCCCAAATAGCCTACTAATGCTCTTTTGGTTTGGTGCACTTAATTTCATCTTAGGCCTCCTTATTTATAGTTGAATAAGGGGAACCATACCAACACAAGCCTCCGATGCGGGATAAAATTATGCCACAAAAATAAAAAATTGTGGTTTTGAAAAAATCAACAAATCTCTATTTTGGCATAATTTCTAGTCCCATCAAAAACTGCTCCACCTTTTCCACATAAGCCCCAATGGGTCTAAATCACCAACAACGAATACCAACCAAGTCCAAGCACTGTTTGAACTTGTAAGCTGGAAGAGGTTTTGTAAACATATCGGCTGGATTGTCCTTGGTATTGATTTTCTGAACAAGACCTTTTCTTCAGCAATGATATTACGAATGAAGTGATACTTCACATGATACTAACCAAGTCCAAGCTCTGCTTTAGTCAAGTGTATAGCACTTCGTCCTCTCATGATACATCTGGTCTTTAGTCAAGTGTATCCAAGTCCAAGCACTACTTTAGTCAAGTGTATAGCACTTCGTCCTCTCATGATACTTCTGGTCTTTAGTCAAGTGTACAACACTTTGACTATCACATTGATGTGAACTATCACTTCATTCGGGATATCATTGTTGAAGGAAAGGTCCTTGTTCAGAAAATCAATACCAAGGACAATCCAGCCGATATGTTTACAAAATCTCTTCCAGCTTACAAGTTCAAGCAGTGCTTGGACTTGGTTGGTATTCGTTGTTGGTGATTTAGGTCCATTGGGGCTTATGTGGAGAAGGTGGAGCAGTTTTTGGTGGGATTAGAAATTATGTCAAGGTGGTGATTTGTTGATTTTTTCAAAGCCACAATTTTTGACTTTTGTGGCATAATTTTATCCCACATCGAAGGCTTGTATTGGTATGGTTTTCCTTATTCAACTATAAATAAGGAGGTCTAAGATGAAGTTAAGTGCACCAAACCAAGAGAGCATTAGTAGGCTATTTGAGCCTTTGGGTCATTAAGCCTTTTGTAGTAGAAATATTTTGGACTCTCTTGTGTTTTAGTATTAGGTGTCTTTTGGGTTTAGAAACCATTTTCCTAAGATTTTTGTATATCTTTTTCATAGTGAAAGATTTGCTCCTCCTCCGCCCGTGGACGTAGGTCAATTTGACCGAACCACGTAAATCTCTGTGTCTTTTATTTTGTTTTGTTATTTGTCTTTATTGGGTTGCCACAACCCTTTTCTATGGTCGGTTTTACCGCTTAAGTATTATATGACTGGTGTCTACCGCCTAAGCATTATATGGTCGGTTATACCGCCTATTTTATACTAACTTTAGTTTGTTTATTTCTGAATCAGTTTTAATAAGGAGAGCTCTCCCACCACGTTGCCATCTCTATTGATGATGTCATATAAGTGATTCAACCTGTAGACACCCATTTTTCAACTAGTTCTGCTAATCTTTTAACTTTTTACTATTATTTTGGAATGTACAAAAGTTTAAAAAAATCCGGTTTATTAACTTAACTAGAGCCATTTATATTTTCTCACCCAAAAAGAAAAACAGGAAGAGAGACCTTAGCAGCATCGTCCAACTCTTTTTCTCTTTTCACCCATCAAGCTAGCACAAGGACGCATAGCCAGCTCAATACTGGTACTGCCTTACCTACCAAAATTCTCCACTAAGCCACGTCTCAAAATTCATCACCACCGTAGTTTCATCATGATCAAATACCAAAGGACTTGATTTCTCCCTTCATCAGCATGACTCTAGATTGATCATTAGAAGGCCCAACTACCATTTCTACCCCTTTACAGTACAGCATCATCATCCTCTATAAGACGGTGATAATCATCCCTCGTATTGGACGTTGTTTAGGCTTTAAGTTAAAAATTTCTAATTATTCAATTAATTAATCTCAATTACCTTGCTTTTCCGCAAGTGTACGGGTTGGGTCGACATGTGACTTATTAAGAATATAACTTTCAAAATTATTTGTAAATTGTTTTCATAAATAAACAAACATACTTGTACTAAGTCTTCACATATTTGCATGATAAATTAACTTAGAACATGCTTATGAAATACAATGAAGTTGTAAACTTGAAACCACCTAAATTCATCTCCTACTAATGTGAGCATGTAATTTAGGATTCATATATTTTGAACTATACATGTAAGGCAAATTTTATGCACTGACACGTGCTTAAATGATTCATAGTTGGTGATCAAATAACTTTAAATATGAGAGTAAATATATGAACCAATAAGTTCAAAAGATAGGGAAGTTCAACACATGTTAATACCAATCAACAAACTATAAGTTCATCTTTACCTCTAAAAACAAATAGTTTAGCTAGTCATGGAATTTGACATGTCAAGACATATAATACTCTTGTAACAAAATATGAATAACATAAAAGTGATCTAGGCTATTAACTTGTGACTTATTAAGAAGATAACTTTCAAAATTATTTGTAAATTGTTTTCATAAATAAACAAACTTACTTATACTAAACCTTCACCTATTTGTATGATAAATTAATTTAGCACACGCTCATGAAATACAATGAAGTTATAAATTTGAATCCACCTAAATTCATCTCCTATTAATGTGAACATGTAATTTAGGATTTATATTTTTTGAATTACAAATGCAAGGCAAATTTTATGCACTAACACGTGTTTGAATGATTCATAGTTGGTGATCAAATAACTATAAATATCAGAGTAAATATATGAATCAACAATTTCACAAGATAGTGAAATTCAATACACATTAACACCAATAAAAAAACTACAAGTTCATCTTTACCTCTAAGAACAAATAGTTTAGCTAGTCATGGAATTTGACATGTCAAGACACATGATACTCTTGTAACAAAATATGAATAACATGAAGAAGTAAGAGTGAAATTTGAATAAATCTTATTCAAAACAAGCTCCTCAAGCTCCTCAAGCTCTTCTTTACAACTTTATTCTTTAAGATTGGAACAAAAGTAGTTCTTCACTTTTGCTTTCTTTTTCTTAAGTTAAAGAAAAACTAGAACTAATTTCTAAGATTAGAGAATTAATTAGCTAACTATCCAATCTCTCTTTGCCCTAAGTAATTCTCTTATTTATAGCTCCTTATTGTTCTTTACGCGACAAAATATAATAATTTTCTTCCATGTAAATGCAAAACAAAAGTTGTCTTCAAAATTTAAAGGAAGTGGATTCATGGAATCTAAGTGATTTGAGATGACAAAAAGATGCTTTTGAATTTGTTTGAGTTTGATCTTCTAGCCACCAAGATGTCTAATTAACTTTCCCATCCAAATGTAAGAAGACATGGTTCAAAATGAATAGGGTAAATTATCTTTTACCTCTCTGTGGTTTGGTGCTTTACCACATAACTCTCATATGGTTTAAAATTTTATATACAACTCCCTCATGATTTGGGTTAAAATATCATTATTATTTTTTTGTTAAAACTAATGGTCAATAATAAAAAGTCAATCAAACTAATAAATTGACAAATTATCCTTTCATTATTTCTTTTTGGGTAAAATATCAAAAAATTTCCTATGATTTAACAAATTCTCAATTTAACTTCCTTTGATTTGAAAACTTACACTAGAATTCTTGGTAGTTTCGACTAAATTAAAAATTGAATAGAAAGTATCTAATCTAACGGTTGTGTGTGAAATGTCAATATTCTCCCTACTATATGTGAGATGTTTTTTGTTCAATTTTCAATTTAGTTGAAATCACAGAGAGTTATAGTGTAGTTTTTTAAATCAGAGAGAGTTAAATTGAATATTTGACAGATCATAGGAAATTCATTTATAGAGGGGCAATATTGATATTTTACGTATAACCCTTAGATTCGATGCTTTTCGTCTAAATTTCAATTTAGTTGAAATCAAAGGGAGCTATACTGTGGGTTTTCAAATCAGAGAGAGTTAAATTAAAAATTTAGCAAATTACAACGAGTTTTTTGGTATTTTATCCTTTTTTTTGCTCCAAACATATAAAAGAAGAAATTGAAGTAAGAAATAGATAAATAAGAAATTAAAATACCATTAAACATTTGGTTTAAAAACCTATAATGATATTTGTAGTTAAAAAAGATTTGATATTTTTTATTTATTTATTTATTTTATATTTCCCTTCCATCTTTGGTGTTTCTTATTTATTTATTGTTTATTTTCCTTCCATCTTTTTTGTATTTGGAGAAAAATTAAGATTTTGTAGATTAAAGTATAGGCTCCGTTTGGATATGCTGTTTTTGGGGGTATTTTACAAAAACAGCACTATTCATTTTTTGGAAAACAATCAATGTTGTTTGGATTAGTTGTTTTTCAAAAATAGAGTGTTTTTGAAAAACAAGCGTGTATGGATTCACTGTTTTTGAAAAACAACATTTAATTTTTTTTTCCTCTGTGTTTGAAATACTGAATGCCATTTGCACTTAAACAATTATCAATTTTTTAATATATAGATGAGACATAAGTGTACAATTTATTGGGCGTACTATCTGAACAAATAATGACAGGAGATGTTCTACTGGTGTTGATGATAGTACATCATATCGGCTATTGCTCTCCTACTTTCATTCCATTCAGCAATTCCTGCAGCCGACATATCTGGAGCTTGTGCTGCGGGCATTGGGTTGAAGGGGTTTATGTTATCTGTCAATGCTATATCTGCTTCTTCTTCAACAAAATATGCGTCATTTGGAACATGCTCGCGCATGAAGTTGTGCAAGGCACAAGAAGTCAGGCTAATATTATTTTGAGTAGCCATCATATACTTCTGCATGGGGCCCTTAAGTATTGAAAACCGCTTCTTCAAGACACTAAATGTGCGTTCTATAATATTTCTTAACGATGCATGCCGTTTGTTGAAGAGTGTCCTCACTGCCCGCTCTTGCGCGGTTCTCCGTCATCCGGGTGAGTATTATATCCGTAGAAACTTCACTTATTACTTCCTCCGACCAACATTCCACCCTCTCGGATCCGTAACCAAACACGCACGAAAAAGGTAATACTCGTCGAGTATGCCTCACGAGATCTCAAGAGATCAAGTTTTGATTTTTGAACACGCACGAAAAGGGCGATACTCCACGAGTATGCCGAACAAGATCTCAAAAGATCAAGTTGTGTTTTGTTATTCTCTTGGTTTATCAACCTTCTCGACCAAACCCATGCTGACTCGAGTTGCAAGATTGGCCAAGAGAATTGGACGTCCCCATAAGTCGAGGAGATTCACTCCACCCGACAACACGACACGCATGGCAACACGACATGCACATGAAAACGGGTATATTTTAGTCGACGAGATTCACTCAAATCGACTTTGAAAACCAAGTTAATGCAAGTAAAGTTCGAGTAAAGGAGAGCGAGTGCGATAAAGTACACACTCGTCTCATCAAGTGATATTCACGTATATAAGCAGGAAAATCAAGTAAACACGACAAGTCATGCACTTGACACTCACCAAGTATTAAGTGCAAGTAGGGTCAAGGAAAATTCAAACGTCCACCGTGGGATCCTCTTGAAGGTCCTCGTGTGCGCCTGAGCAAATAATAGTGAATTATTATTCACCCAACCCAATTATCGAGAAATAATTCGTGCATTATTGTAATTTAGGGAATTTTTGTGAAAAGGAGCCTTAATTACTTGTAAATCGAGGTTCGAGTGGCGTTTCATAAAGTACAGGAACATTTGGGTTTTTATCTTGGAAATCGAGGTTAAAACGTTTGCATAATGTCCAAAAAATAAAGGGTTCTTGGAAAACTCTATTTTCTTAAAAGTTGAAAATTTTCAGTTTTGATATGGATCTTTGAAAAATCGTATCTCACTCTATACAAGTTTAAAATTGGAAAACTTTCTACCGTTGAAAATCTCTTGGAAAGTACTAAAAGTTCTTAGAAGACACTTTTCCATGAATCTAAGTGGAAGGCATTCAAAAATGAGCTTGAAATCACTGTTCCAGAATGTTCAGGATTGAGCTGGGGTTGGTTTTTCGCTAACTTTGGAAATTTGGCAGAATTCACTCGTTGCAAACCAGCCCTTGAAATTTATAACTCAATTAGAGGTGCAAGTAAGGTTTAGGACAGAACAAGCGGATCAAGAATCGGAGTTTCGAGCACCAAGATATGGTAGTTCAAAGTTGGGGAAAATTCAAGACTGGAGAAGAATTTCCAGATTTGAACTTCCAACATTGGAAGTTTAGTTAGGTATCGAAAAGAACTTGGATTGGTACCAAAATTGACAGTATTTTACTCTTATATGAAAGGTATCTCTCTATCAAATTTCACAGAAAAATACCTTCGGGAAGGTAGTCAACGAACCAACTAAAGTTTGGAAAAATTCTTAAGGCAATCTGCCTTTAATCATTTTCTTTCCAAATCCAATCGTTTGGTTAAGAAAATCCTCCAATCATGGTTCATATGTGAAAGGAAAGTCTAAGGAACATTCATGGTACATTTGGTAGGTGTTTAATACCAAGAATTTCATTTAGTAAGACCACAACAAGTCTCATCTCAAATCTGTCCAAAACTAGATTTTTCCAAAACAGAGCAGTGTTCTTGTTTTGATCACAACTCAGTCGACTTAACTCGTAATTGAGCATGGTTTATGGCGTTGGAAAATACATTCATAGGGCTAAAAATTCACAGAAGAAAATGTTTTGAAATTTGGCAAACAACCAGCTCGAAATTGAGCCTCAAGTTGCTGCCTCTACAAATCATTCCAGCAGAACAGAGAAACAGGACAACTATCTTAAAACGAATGGTTCGGCTCCCACACATGGAACCAGAACGTGCATTTTATACCGTTGGAAAGGTATGGATGTCTAGTTTCAAATTCCACTGACGGCACTCGATTTCAACGTCAGAGGACAAAGTTATGGTCGAAATGCTACCGCTGGACAGGGTTATCCGAAAACAGTTTTCCAGCTTGACTAGTTCACAAATAAATTCATTTGCCCAACCAAACGTTAATGTTTTCCAATGAAAATTTTTACACATCTAATACAACATATAAACATCAGATTCAAGCCATTAAATCATAAAAAATTGGCCTTATCATGGCCGAACAAAGCAGGGGCAGTTTCGGAAATTTTTGTCATGGCCTCAACTTTGAGTTTCCAACAATAATATTCCATAGATCTATCATTTTAACCACTAAACCACCATTAAAATCCAACATTAAACCTCTTATCAGCAACAACCCAAGAGTGGGAGTTCATAGAGTCCACTTTTCAAATTTTCCAACTATATCAAGCCATCCACTTACATGCAAGTGTTTAGAGATGCATTTCTACTACCATAAACCAAGTTTAAGGTGTTGGATTATGGTATACCTCCTTAGTACTTTAGATCAGAAAATTTCGGTCCTCAAGAGGCTCCAAGAAATCGTGAAATGCAGCCCTTTGGTTAGCTAGATCCAACCTCCAAGTAGTTTGCTAGTTGATCTACAAGTTTGGTGAAGATTGGTTGGAGTTTTGTTGTTGATTTGGTGAAGAAATTTTTGAAACAATGGAGTTAGAGAGGGAGAGGGGCTAGCCGGCAATAGGAGAGAGAAGGGAGAGTGAGATTTGATCAAGGTTAGCTTCCAAGAGAAGATTAAAATGAGTGGTGTAAACTCACTCCAAGGTCAACTCTCATTAGGGCTCGTTTGGTCCATTTAGGGCTCGATTTTCTCTCACGTTTGGTTCACTAGTGCACTAAACCTCTAATGCACTTATGTTCATATAAATATTATTCACTTTTAATTGTCCCAAAATAATGGTATAACGTCCCTCAAATAAAGTCGCGCGTGAAAACGCGTATTTCCAATTTAGGCGCGATAAAGTGAAACTTTCGAGAAATTCTTATAACGATCGTACCACCAACTATCACTTGAGTACTTAAACCTAAATTTACCTATTTTAAGAACATTGTACATGTCTCCAATTTTCTGAGTTTAATGTACTCTTAATTGGTTAAAATTTCTCAAACACGTTTTCACTATTTTCATTAATCGAGCTTCCAAAAATTAATTTTTGAAACGAGTCGCTTTAAAAACATAATGAAGTCATAATTCCATGTATTTAAGTCTAATAAGGTTAGAAAATAATATTCGAGGCAATTGGCCAAATAAATAATTAAATGAGCTCGAAATAAGAATTTAAATAAGAAAATTTTGCGAGTTCTCACAGCTGGAAATTTGGAACTAAAGTTCGAAATTCTTATTTGGAAGTTAAAAGTCACATTAAAGATATAAATTTTCATACAAATTCATATCAAGGCTAAATACCATCATATCATGGATGAAAACTATAAAACAAAATTGAAAATTTTCACTAATATTCACAAATTTAGTTTATCTTCCATAAAACCTCTATATTCAAGTCATCTTCCTAATAAAATGCAAGATGAGAAAGAGAAAAAAAGTTTTCCAACTTAATACCTTCAACCTCTAGGAGAAAATGAAAAAATCAAAGCTTTCCTCTCTAAATAACTCCACTACAAGCCTCCTTGGCACCTTGTTGCAACTTTATTCGGATTAAACTAGTGATTCTCGTTTATTCTTCACTCAATCAAGGAAAGATCAAGATGAGAAATGAAGCTCTCTTCCTCTCTTTTTCCCTCTCTTTGGTTGGCCAATATAGAAGAAAAATGAAGGGAATTTTTGTGTTAGGAAAGATAAGAATGGAAGAAAGTTTTGGGTCAAAGGTAGCTTTGATTACCAACACTTGGCAATCATCCATTTTTCCTCTTTTTTTTTTTTCTTTTTCCTCTCTTTCTTGGTCAATAATTTCTGCCAGCCCTAGGATAAAATTAGGAAAAGAAAAATAAGAAGATTAGAGAAAGAAAGTTTTGATCGAGTGGTGTCTTCGACCGGTAACAAATGGCGAGAGCCGGTTCAATCCTATTACTTTGCCTCTCTTGGCACTTTTAATCACATACTTTTCTCTTATTTAATACCCGCTTTTATCCACCAAATTTAGTACGCACACCTCACCGAACTCCTTCCTTCCTTGTTGCAGCCTTCTATGGATGGATTTAGAGTTTGAAGTTGATTTTTCTGCAAAATCTAGTTAGGAATCAAGATGAAACTTGAAGAAACTCTCTTTTTTTTCTTGCTTAAGGGAGTCGGCTAAAGGGAGGAAGAAAGATGATGGATTTTTCTTCAATTTTCTAAAATAAGAGCAAGGACAAGTCATTGGTCAAAGGATCTTAGACAAACTTTGAGGGATGAGTGACAAATGACGGCAAATGGTTCAAACCTATCTCTTTGTCTCTCTTGTGTTTTTAATCTCTAAAATAACTAGGATTTCTCTAATACACTTTTAACACTTCTAATCGCATAATTTCTCTAGCACCACACTTATTCTTGTCCACCAAATTTAACGGATACATCTCACTTGTCGGTCAAACTACCTTAATAATCTACAAGACTTAACATGCACTAAAATATAAAAAAAAAGAGAAAAAATCTTAACTTAACCTTTAAAATCACTATCAAATTAAGGCTAGTAAATAAGCAAGTAAAGTAAAATTAAAAAGAAATATAAATTAATTTTTCAAAAATAGGAAAAAATTTAAAAATAATTTTTGGGTCCTCACACTCTCTTCAAAATTTTTACCTTCTATCACCTCAGATGACTCTAGAGTTGGTTGCTTGTGTATGGCGTATACCTGCGCTGACACTCTTGGTCTGTTTCCTCTTTCATTAGCTTGTCTAGAATTAGTTTTATCCCCTTGTTGAGTATTATTCCCTTGTTGCTGCTTTTTTGGATAGTTGCTAATTTGATTGTCAGTACTCCCACAAACTAAGCAGTTTTGCCCCTTCACCCAGCATTCATTTTCAGTATGATTTGTCTTTACATAGTATCCACAAGCCAAACAAGGAGCCATTTTTTGGCATTCTCGAAGAATTTCCTCTTGTTGCCCTTTT